TATAATAAATATATCTCTGGTCTTTGTCCTGATTCCTGGCACAGAGTTTCTAAAACCCTTGAAATTTCCTGAGTGACAGCGGTGAGAGAAGCATTTTTCGTTATTCATAATAAGCCCCTTTCCAACAAACCAGAGTTTATGTTGATGAGCTGACTCTTGGAGGATGGGGACTGGTACCCAGAGGAACCAATCTCAGCCTCTCCTTTCTGGGGAAGGGAGAGAGGCTGGAGATTGAGTATATAATCACCAGTGACCAGTGATTTACTCAATCATGGCTACATAGTGAAGCTTCCACAAAATCCCCAAATAATGTGGTTTGAACAGCTTCTGGGTTGGTGAACACATGGAGATGCTGGGAGGGTGGTGAACCTGCAGGGGGTATGAGAGAGGACACGGAAGCTCTGCATCCCACTCCCATACCTGGTCCTATGCATCTCTTCTATTTGACTGTTCTTGAGTTGTATTCCTTTGTGATAAACCAGTAAATGTAAATAAAATATTCCCCTGAGTTCTCTGAATCATTCTAGCAAATTATCAAACCTAAGGAGGTGCTGGGATCCCCCGATTGGTCAGAAGTCAGTTGGTCAGAAGTAGGGAAGGCGGGACTTGTAACTGTTGTCTGAAGTGTGAGCAGTCTTGTGGGACTGAGCCCTTAACTTGTGGGATCTGATACTAAGTCCAGGCAGATAGTGTTGGAATTCAACTGAATCGTAGAATGCCCAGTTGGTATTCAGAGAATCAGAGAATTGCTTGGTATGGAAAAAAACCCACATATTTGGTGTCAGAAGTCTTGTGAGTATAGAAAATCTGTTTTTTCTTTGTATACTTCAAAAACCATTAGGGAAATCTACTTTAAAAAGAAAAACTCTATCATCGAAATGTCTTCCTGTGATATTTAAATGCTATAACCAATATTACTATGAGTTAGAAACAATGGAAATCTTTCAATTACCTTCAAATCCTCACTTAGAGAGCTGTAGTCTACTTCAATGGCTTCTTCTTTTTCATAGATATCACCTGTTGCCTGCATACTTTCTGCTTCACTTCCCAACTGAAAAACATGTGAAACTGCTTTCGGAAATGGTGATTTCTATTCATCTGTCAGCCCCCAGCCCTCCAGTTGCTTGTCAACTCATTCAGATTCAAAGCTAACAATGAAGGCCTTCAAGGCCACATTGGCCTGGCCCTGGTCACCTTCTAATTTCATGACGCACCAGTGTCCCGTGCTCACTCTGCTCCAACCACACTGGCCTCCTTGAGCACAGCAGGCACACACCCACCTCGGGGCTGGCACACTG